GCCAGCATATGGCCGTCAACAATGAGCAACACCCATACCGCATAGCAAGCTTTAACACAAGCAAAACAACTCTTGTAAAATATAATGGCATGCACCACAGGCACGGGGACATATCCTACTGTTTTTCGAGCGTCTGAATAAAACAGAAAGAAAAAATATCAACCTAAGAATGTATAGTGAATATAAAATGCGATGTCATATGTGAGGGTCTGGATGGGGACCAAAAGAGAATAGAAAACAATTTGGCGCTAAAATATAAAGAATAGAGAATAATGGACCAAACATGTCAAGAATAGAGAAAAATTACCTAGAAAATTAAAGAATACAGAACTGAAGGACAACCCCCCCCCCCCCCCCCCCCCCCCCAATCCAGACCCTTATATTGTAAAGGACTTTGTTTCTGCTCTATCAGTGTTGTCACACATTATATGATCTAGGACATGATAACTAAGTATTTGTTTGTTATTAATCAATTAAAATAATATTTACAGTTTGATACCCTCACGGGCGTTTTGTTTACGTAAAAAGGACAATAATGCTTAACAGATTAGAATATGGAATCTTGTTATGACAGTTTAAACTGTAGTATTTTTATTATTTTCATAAGGATAAATTTCAGTGTGACAATAGGAACTCTTCGGAAGAATAATAAATTATTACTTCCGTTTATATTAAGTCGGCCGAGAGCCCCGAGCAATTAACACCTGATTAAAGTAACATAGACACACTATTTCAGAATTTTAGAATTCAGTTAAATCTCGAATTATCTTGTCACTGTAATACCACTTTAAAAGAAACGTTGTTTTGTCAGATAGGTCTTACTTAACGCTAAATTTATCAAGTTTAATCCGTTTAGGATTTAAGGTATATATAATTCAATTTTCATCATCAATTATGTGAATATTTTCCTAAGTGTATTCACATAGCTGACGGGAACAATATATTGTGTGTATTGTTGATACATCTTCATCGTAATCCAAATAAACTTCTAACCAATGACAATTGATGTCTTTAAACGAGTTCGACAAATTAGGTATGACGTAAGCACTTTACTATAGTAGGTACATCAATTTACCTTTGCATGGAAGATATATTGCTATATTTGTCAGGCATCGGTCATTCGCCTTGTGTGTGTTTATGTTGCGGTGGGGGGGGGGGGGCATATTTTTTTTCTCAGAACAATTATTTTTCAAGTTTGATAATAATTAAAAAAACATATTCAAAAATAAACATAAAGGAACGGGAACTTTTTAAAAGACGTCTTTCTGTCACGATATTTAAAATGCCAAGAGTTCAGAGTCAGTGAAAATAAGTCCAGCCGGGGAACCGACTGTACTGAAATTGAAGGCATTATCTTCTGAATAATAATGTTGTGTACAACACATTCTTAAACGAAATCTTATGGATTGAGTTTTTCATTTATAGAGAATTGCGTAGTCGCAAATTTGAATATTTATTTGTTCTGTCTAAAGGAGGCTAGCTATACTGAAGAGACATTAAAGACTAATAAATCGAAGAGAGACGAACAAAACCATGGACAAACAACAATCTACAAAACTTTATAGAAAACTAAATACTAAGCAACACGAATCCCGCCAAAAACCCAAGATAATCTCTGGTGCTCCGGAAGGTAAGACGATCCTGCTTCATATGTGGCACCCGTTAACCTTATGAAGTTTGATTATCTCAACATCATCTCCGGTATTTAATTTGCAAGGAATATGGTATACAGGACGATTTATTTTACTTTTTGAGTCCGTCAAATAATTGACTGCTGCTGAATCACTGTACGGAGTTTGGCTGAATCCCTCAAGACACTCACTGTGTCTAGATTCAAGAAAACCAACATCACCGATGACATTTTCTGATAACATTAATGTTCTTCGCGGTTGACACTATCTTTAGATAAGCATAAGATGGTTGTAATTGGTAATACTCCGAGTGTTTGAACTTTCTGGGTGGTCCGTATAGCCGGCTTGAAGTGAGGCATAATTACGCAGGCAAGTCAAATCGGAATGGGAACGATAACAAATATTTACAATAGTTCTCTGTTGGGTCCGTATGTGGTCTATTGTAGGTTAAAACTTATGTCCCTATCCAACAGTAACTGATTACCCTCATTTTCCAAGGTCTGTCAAAATTGTAAGTCCTTCTTTCCCGGCTGACCTACTTTAATTGTAGATCATAATTATTGTATTAATTGTTAATGTGTTCTCGTCTTGCATATAAATCATTAATGAAATATTTGCTATTGGACGTTAAGCAAGCAGCAACCGACCAATAAATCAACGAGAAACAGTAATACACACATTGTTTTTCTGTGTTGAGGTTAACTTTCCATTCAGTGCTTCTTTAATGATATCTGGATGGGGTTTACAGAAGAGAGAATAATGGGCAAATACTACTGAAAATGGGCCCAACAAAATAAAGAATGGAAAAAAATAGGTAAAAAAATACAGATTTGAGAATAATGCGGTGCATAGATATAAAGAATAGAGAATAAAAGGCAAAATTGATAAATAATTATAGAAGAAAATGACCTAAAAATGAAAGAATACGGTAGTGTTGTTGTTATTTATTTTGTGTTTTGTTCCTTATAACCCTTATGTTGACTACTAGAATGCGAAACATTAATTGACGTAAGGGAGCTACCGTTTGATTTTTATGGGGGCAGGATGAGACTATTTGCAACAAAAAAAAAGGCAGGATAACAATTTATGTAAAAAAAAGTCAGGATAAACTAAAAAAAAAAAAAAGGTAGGACTGAATAGAGTGAAAAATAAAAAAAAGCAGGAAAATAAAAAGACAGGACAACATTTTTCATCCTAGCACTCCCCCCCCCCCCCCCCTCCCCCTTAAAATCAAATGGTAGCTCCCTAAGATCTAAAGTTGCAGCATTTTGATTGATTGATTGATTGGTGGTTAAGCTATTGGCTATATGGTGTCAGTTTTCATTTGCTGTGGGAAGACTGAGTTCCAGGAGAGAACCATTGACCTTTGGCAGGAAAACTGACACTCCTAGTCAACTAAGATTGGAATCAAACGCACCTGCCACGTGCATGGGGTTCGAACTCACATCCGCAGTATTGACAGGCTATTGATACAGTAGTTGAACTACTTAGGCCCCTCGACTGCCGAAACCCGGCATCATTGTGAATAAAGAAAAGGATTTACATATGACGTCTGCGCTTTCAACAACCACCATTCATCCCATATATTCAAAGATTCCTTATAATTACACGATTTGTGTATGAAAAAATGCCTACCAAAAACAATTAGCGGTATGATATGGTAAAATTGTGTTGTTTTTTAGGTGATATTCAAACATAAAAATTTGAATTGTACTTTTTGTAGCGAAATTTTTCATCTTGGATTTTCTGCTTTAAGAATAACATAACCAATTTCACAGCACCAGATGCACATTTCGACAAGTAATGTCTCTTCAGTAATGCTCGATCTAAATTATTTGAATATTCCAAAACTGAAGAAATACTTTAAAGAGCTGATAAAACTGAAAAATGACTAAGAGTAAAGTGAAAACTGAAAAATGACTAAGAGTAAAGTGAAAACTGAAAAATGACTAAGAGTAAAGTGAAAACCCAGACAAGGAATCCGAGCTATCGCGACGGATATACTTTCCGTAATTTAAAATGGATTTTCAACATTGCATACTAGTAACTGAAAATTTCAATTAAAAAACATGTTCATGTCAGTACTGATTTACTGGCTATTGGGTTTTGGTACCCTCGAGGACTTAATCAACCAACAGCAGTGGTGGATCCAAAAAGGGGGGCCGGAACCCCTCTTTTTTTGACGATCAATGCTTTTGAATGGGGACATTTGGTTGGAATACCCCCCCCCCCCTTTTTTTATCCTGAGTTGGAACCCCCCTTTTAAGAATGGCTTGATCCTCCTCTGAACAGAAGTATAGACCCAGTGGTAGTAATAACATTTACTGCAGGAAAATGACACCACGATTAAAAATAATTGCGCGAAAAAAACATATAAATTTCGTAGAGCGTTTCTGGACCTACCTTCATCAGGAACGCTCAAAATCGAACATTTTAATGTTTATAGGGATGCATAAATACGTAGAAACGTGAGGACCTACACATAACAAAAAGTGACCTAAACAGATAACAAAATTCGTCTAAGGTCAATTTTGATTAAGAGTGTTGGAAACTTAGTTTCTTAGTAATTTCTTAATCTATCAACGGGGAATTTTATTTTAAAAATATGCGTTAAATCGTGTCAGTATGATGTAGAACAATGTCTGGAATCTCCAGATATACTACTATATCCTGCAATCGACCTTTCTACTATACTAATACATGTGTACAGATAACACAAAGCGATATACGTATACTAGACGTATATAGTCTCCTATAGTATCCTGCTTCTGTTGCGAGCGAACGGTTATGTCAAATTACTGTTTATGTCACAGTTCAATTTGGGGTCCTCATTGCGGTCCGCGTTTAAGTAATGTCGATTTCTTTCAGAAACAAATTCAACAATTGGGATGGAAAATATGTAAAAATTTAATTGCAGGGTAAAGACAATAACTGTTTAGTGTCTTTAAATACCAGCTGTATTTGTACTCGGCTCGAAAAGGGAGTAATAGCTCGCTAAAGCTCGCATTACACCTGTTTCTTAGCCTCGTACAAATACAGCTGATATTTAAAGACACTAAACAGTTATTGTCTATTTATTTATATATCGAATTTTTAATAAAGAATCAAGATGCTATTCCAGGATTTTTTAAGTGGGACGTAATACCAGAAAACCGTATATAAACCGCCGAGCGGAGCAAAACGATTTTTTTTACCGATTTGATAGTAAAAAAAATATTATTTTTAAATCTAATGGGGGCGTACGCCCCCTCTGGATTTAATAGAGATTTATATACATGTACATTGTACTTCAAGGTTTAATGCGTTCATGATGTATTGCAAAATAGAATTGTAAACAAAATATGTATTGTATTGAAACGTCGGGATAACCCTGAATGACAATGGTTCATTTAAATAACCCTATCATCATACTACTTATTTCATTGTATTATGGACAAGACAGAAAGAAGTGTGAACTACGTCTGATTTTTTGCATATATATTTTGGAGCCAATAGCATTATTGACACTCGTGCTGCGTTCTGTTTCTGTTCTGTTCTGTTTTAACTTATCACTGTTTTATGTGGACATTGTCCCTGTTGGAACCTATAGGATTATTGAAACTCGTGCTGAGTTCTCTTATATGTGGACACTTTAAGACTAGCTTGATATATGATTAATAATCCTATTGTTGTGGAATTCTGGAAATACTTTTAAATACCATTGAAAACTAATGTTGAGAGGAAACGGTAAGCATTAAATGTAGCATAAACACTAATTATTATTATTAAATTGATAATACTATAAATAAGTTATATACGAATAAACAAATATACCGAGTAAAAAATGTTTAGCAACATATATGTTAGTTAAAAAACTTAATACAAAATTTTTTTGATATTGCGGAAATTCGTTTTTAATAATTTTTCTGTCGAGTGCAAATTGCATCTTATGCTTTTTTTTTTAATGTGTAACACAAATCCAGTTATTGTCATGTTTAGAAGTAATGAAATATACATTTATAATTTTTTGTCGCTAACATTTTTTATTGACTATAGATAAATGATTTTTGAAACTTAAAATGAATGCTTTTATTACTCAAGTGTGACAGGTCATTCATACCTTAAAATAGCCGCAAAAAATAGATGTATTTACAATCGATAGTGTCGATTTTTTTCAAATTTATTATCCCTATTTTTAGTTTTGAATCAAAATTAATTTAAACAAACAATTCTCCCACAAGCTGCATGCAGACTTCAATTTGGCTTCACATGTAATTAAACAAATAAATAACTGCGAAAAATATTTTAGAATGGAAAACTCTGAATCAGTATTTTGTTTTTTCCTTCTGCTTGATCAAAATATTTATTTCATCAAATGTGGGAACCAGAATATTTCTGTTTAGAGAAAAACCATAACCAGACCCCACCCACCAGACCCCCATCCCATTCGACCCCCATCCCATTCGGAGTAGAATGAGCGTTCCCTAAATGTAAGTCTGATAACACTTCGAGTTAGGAAGATAATTAAAGCGCTTGTTTTATTCTTTGATAGAACTTTATGATACATATCTTGCTCTGTCTAAATTTAGATAACAGACCTTTGGTATACAAAAATTAATATTTACTGTGACGGTTAGTCATTAATTGCTCGAAAGTTTGAAAGAGGATAGAAGATTATAATGGACCACTCAAAACCAATTAGTCAAAGCAAAACAGCCGACAGCATGACCAAAAGAAACAAAAACAAATAAGTGTCCTTGTTTTTTCAAAAAGTCAAAATCAAGAGTAGCGAAACATCCTCAACAGGGGCGGATCCAGCCATTTTTAAAGGGGGGGTTCCAACCCAGGATAAAGGGGGGTTCCAACCATTTGTCCCCATTCAAAAGCATTGATCGACTGCTCAAACATGTAATGTTGGTTTCTTGGCGTCCTCTACGTTTTTGTATGTAACAACCTTGAAAATATGTGATAGCAAAATATATCAAACGACTGGGCGAATCAAACCATATTGACAAGCTAGTAGATCAGACAAAAGCATTCTTGCGTCGGGCTCTTGCACCACTGTCCCAGTTTAAGGGGATAGTTGAGCGCTCGCTTACATGTTTAACCCCGCCACATTCTGTATGTGTCTGTCCCAAGTCATGTGCCTGTAGCTCAGTGGTTGTCATCGGTTGCTGTATTCATATATCTTTTTCAATATTCGCGCCAGGTCAGAAAGAAGTACATATTTTAAACAAAATTGTTCCTACGCATAGCTATAAATTTGTATATAAGTAAAATATTTGGAAAATTTTTGTATCAAATTAAATCTTTAGGACTTGGTATCACCGAAGAACCATTGTTGAAAGTTTCATTTGAGTAATAAAAACATATATGAAATAGAAGTAGGAGGGCATATTAAGCCTGTTGTTTGGATCAGAAGTACATGTTTTGTACCACCAAATTTCCGGGAACCAGTGCGTTTGTTCATTTTTTTCAGCAAACGCTCGCATAATGTATAGTTTGACATGAAATAACTGTCACTTCATTTAAACTTAAGACCATAAAATTGCAGTATTTAACATAGTAAGAGGGGCTATATGAATTAGTGGTTTTATTCCTTCAATTGGGAATAGAGATTCGCACAATGAGTAACGTTTCGAAAATGTAATATTCATAGGAAAAACATTTTTTTTTAAATGTTTGTATGTATATATATATATATATATATAAACAAGTCTAAATTGAAAACAACGTTCAAACCTATGATTGCGTTGGATAAAAACCGCAATTTTCATACGTGTGCATGCGAAACAAATTTCTAGGTAGAGGGGTCTAAATACTGCACAAACAACATTTTCCGAAAGACCAAATGAGTGTATTTTAACAAAACGCATTTGACTAGCAGGTCGAACAACTGATGTTCTTAAACCCTGCCGACTGCCATTGGCGATTGCGAAATAAACGGATCACAAGATGTAACAAAATAGATCTTATTATTAATTTATTACCAAACAGAAAACAATAAACTTGCGGAAAAGATGGTATACCTATATATATACTAGTCAACAAAAGAAACGATACAAGGCAATGTATTTTCCATATATAATGAAATTGGATACACTGTACCAAGGTTAATAATTGCCCAATTGGTCTAATATTTACAGCGTGTTATTTTCTTATCAAAACCATTGATTCAAGGCAAATACGGGAATTTTTTTTTTTTGCAATTTTCGTTATTTGAAAAATCGTATTTTCACCCAAAAATAAAAAAATCGATATTAGAACTTAAGACTTTAAACTTAAACATGGTCTGCTTAAACTTTTGAATGCCTTTGCAGATATTTGAATACTTAATTCTCATCTTCGAAATTAAGCGCCGACTTTTGTCATCATTTTCCGCAAAATAAATTTGACCCCTGTGTTCAATAACACGGTATTTTCTCACTTTCCAATTTGGTCAGATTCTTTTAATCATATGCATTTGTTTTGCAAATGAATGTTTTTCATTGGATAATTTAACAGTTTTTCCTTTTTATTATATTTTATGATAAATTGGAGTTCAAACTTGTGTATCGTTACTTTTGTTGACTAGTATAGCTGTACACAAGTTAAACATGGCAATTTAGTTCAGACATAAAACGAGTCAAACATGTTATTTACGTGCAGTTTACTTCCAAATATAGAATGTTTATAATATGATATTTCAAACAAAATATTTCATATCGAGAAATCGGTTGCTTTTAATGTTGTTCATATTTCAATGTCTGCATTGTTTTATCTAGATATATTGAGATTATCTATGTTAATGTCGATTCAACAATTGGTACTGCAATTTTTCTTTTTCATTTTTTCACGTTGTTTTTATTATATGGGGTACATTAGAAAGTGATTGAAATTTTATATAGTCATAGCTTTATTACTATCAGCTACCAAATCGACGAAAGGTGTACTCGAATACTGTATATAATAGGTAAAGGTTATCTAGATATACGAAGATGTGGTATGAGTGCCAATGAGACATCCAAGTCACAATTTGTAAAAGTAAACCATTATAGGTCAAAGTACGGCCTTCAACACGGAGCCTTGGCTCACACCGAACAGCAAGCTATAAAGGGCCCCCAAAATGACTAGTGTAAAACCATTCAAACAGGAAAACCAACGGTCTAATCTATATAAAAAACGAGAAACGAGAAACACTTATGAACCACATCAACAAACGACAACCACTGAACATCAGGTTCCTGACTTAGGCAGGTGCTGTATACTTGACCGATTGTTTTCATACAACTTTTTCTTTAGAACTGTATTTGTCTTTCTAAGAGAAATGACAGAGCATAAGTTCAATTAATTGTCAGAAATTCTTAACATCTCAAGATACAATGTATCTATATAATAATTCTGATTTAAGCACAGGGGGTCGTTTAGTAGACGACATTTACAGTAAAACCTCATCTGACTCCACTAAACCAGGCCCTGAAATTTAAGACTGCATTACGCATTTTTTGAAAGAGGAAAGACAACTCTATTATTACTTATACGTACCTATTATATTCTTATGGTACCAGTTCGTATTACAACTCCAGTTTCAAAACAAGTAGTGAAATGAAATAGTCCATTTTTTTCTGATTTTTTTTCTGGACTCATTTTTTCTGTTTGATTAAAAATTTATGCTAAATTGAAACATCTATTTAGATGTAAAAAAAAGTTGCATCTTTTTGTGGATATCAAACCAGGAAATTGGAAGATATCATGTTTACTGGAAGTGGTGCGGACTAGTAAAAACAGCAAACAGAAAGTAGAAAAAATTAGTTTTGACTTCAGGGTTTCATAACTTTTTATTCTTCGTGGCATGAGGCACCTTTTCCCCCCATTAAATCACAATTTCACACTATTACATACTTGATATGTACATGAAAATTATTTTCTATGTAGCATTTTATCTTAAAAAAATATATCAAAGATCAACTGTTTTGCATGTAAGCCTATGGAGCAGTCAATTGCAAGACTGCAACCTTGTTTCACCCCTGAGTATCGCTTTGAAGTATTACATATCATTGAGTTGCTGTTGCTTTTTCATCCAAATCACTTTTTATGGGTGCCACATGTGGAGCAGGATTTGCTTACACATTTGGAGCACCTGAAATCACCCACGGTTTTTGATTGGGTGTCGTGTTGCTCAGTCTTTAGTTTTCTATGTTGTGTTCTGTGTACTGTTGTTTGTCTTTCGGTCTTTGTAATGTTTGCCATGGCATTGTCAGTTTGTTTTAGACTTATGAGTTTGAATGTCCCTTTGGTATCTTTCGCCTCCCTCTTATGGCCAAAGTATAAAGATAGAGATCAGGTGCGGATCCAGCCAATTTAAAAAAGGGGGTTTCCAACCTCCGGAACACCATGAATCGTTCACATAATTAAAAAGTGAGAGACAGTTATTTTTATTTCATTAAAGGGCCCATGATAAACAAAGTGATTTATTACAATGATTTTTTTTTTTATAATTGAGAGACACAAATAATTTTGACAATCATAAAATTATATATTTATGAATATAATAAACTTGATTTTATGATCGTATATGTGTCAAAAAAATCATCGATAAAACAGATTATATAAAATATTAACCTAAGCAATAAGTCCTTGGTATTCATCTGATATAATTTACATGTAACTATGAATTCGGGAACAAAAATTTATTTTACATAATTACGCACGCATGACCAAAAAATGCAATTTTTAGTTTTCTTTACGAAAGTAAACTTTTTAGGGGTTGAATATTTTCTTCTCCAGCTTTTTTTTAAATTTTTAATTCAAATGATGAAATAAAAGGTGAACAGCATCATGCTAACGTCAACCATTGATCTATACATTATTTGATAGGGCCACACCAAATTAATTTCTACTTCTTCGGACACTTTCCGTAAAAAAAAGGGCAGCGAGAGAGCGAAATTTTTTTTATTTGTTTTTTTTTCGAAGTTTCATTTTTGGCAGGCGAATGTATTTTTTTCTAGCGAGCGATATTATTTTTGAAATATTAAAAAAATAAAATCTATGAAAAGCATTTTATGCAAGCGAGCGATCAGAAATTTACACTGTTTTAGTGCTTCATGTTTTTATATATCTCCTACTTCTTATATTACCCTACTTTGCTTCTTAATATGTTCTCAGACACCCTGTTGAATCTTTTCACAACATTTCTAGTACACAAATTGTTAACTAGTAGCAAAGCATAGATAATTTCGTGTAGTCTGCTCAAATAAAGATCCAGCTGAACATGAAATAGTACAACAGCATTGAACAGTTACAAATCCATGTTTGATGACAGTTATAATTGATGAATTATAAAAATAAAGAGATGTGGTATGATTGCCAATGAAACAACTATCCACCAAGGTTCAAAGAAATTGATATTTACAATTATAGGCAACCATACAGCCTTTAACAATGAGAAAACCCATTCCGTATAGTCGGCTGTAAAAGGCCCTGACGTGAAAAATATGAAATAATTTTTTGAGAAAACTAACAGCTAATTCATAACAAAACAATTTACGAAAAACAAATTTGACAGACATGAACCAACAACCAGTGAACCACAGGCTCCTGACTTGGGACAGGCACATATAGAATTGTATGTTGTTTCAAATAAACGTATGCAAAGCATATATGCATGTATAAAGCTTTTATATACAACAAGATGACAATTTATTAAGGACTGTCCTTCAAAAACAACATCAAGTATACTTCTACGTATTCAAATGCATCACACCAGATGCTATATATACTAATTAAACAAAAGAAACATTTTAATACATTCCACCTAATATTCATGCTTTGCTGAAGAATTTAATATCATTCAAGATGGCGGAACATGCATTGAAATGGCACCGCGATGATACTATCATATTTTTTACCTTTTTTTTTATCTTTTAGAATAAAAGTTTTTTTCCCTTGAAACTTTCATTTATATTTGTGTACCATTACAAAGTTATAAAGCATGGAATTCAACAAGAACGTGTTTATCATTGGTAATTGAATATAACACATCAATCCAACTTAACAATTTACAAAATCTTCTAAAAATAAGAATTTGTATGATTGTCAATGAGACAAACTTCCACCAGAGACCACATTTGTTGAGGTTTGTAACCAGTCCAGGGGTTAAAAATCCACTAGCCCGACGCCCGGGAAACAGCATTTAGGCCACGGGCAACCAAAACTTGTAACCCAATATGCCCGACGGACTAGTAACAAAAAAATCTTGGCGTTTCCAAAATAAAAAGTGGAAAATCCACACATCACTATTCTATCTTAGAACAGATTCAACTACATCATCCGGGATTCCCAGAATTTGAACTGATTTTGAACAAGTTTTAAAACAGAACAAATAACTCGGGGTGGATCCCGTACTTACAATATCGATTTGTCAGTACAGGGGGTATTGTACATTGCTTATGCAACCAGAGAAATATAATGTAACCGGACTGTACCTCCTTCTGAATAATTTATTGCAATATAAATGTGAATCCCTTTTGACAGGAGGAACCTGACTTTTGTCAGATATAAATTTGTAACATGTGGACATGGACATGTTATGGACGCCATTTTGTTTTTGTTTGCATACTGTGAAGAAGCCTCCAGAACCATGACCTAAACATTAACAGTCTTCAGAAAACTTAAACTTGATGCAATAATATTTCATCAATCATGATTATCTTCATTGATATTCAAATAAATTTGATTTTTAAAGAAATAAAATTTATAACAAATACAATTTCAGTTTACAGACTGTACTCAGTTTGTAATCTATTTATAGCCCACAATTAGCTTACCTGTGATAAATGAGGGTATTAATGCCCTTTACCGTCAGGCGTCAAACGGTCATTTACGGCTACCGTTAGCGTCAAATTGGTTAAAATTTTAGCGTGATTCGTCAAAATATCCTTATCGTGACTCGTCAGTGGTCTCCAATAATTATCGTTACCGTTATTTTTGGAAAAAATTTAACGTGATTCGTCAAAATCAGTCGATTTTTTTATCCGTTGTACAGTAGATTTTTGCAAATCGGACACTGAAAACTTATGTCAGCAAAAAAATATCCCAGTAGCATGAATAGCAGATATATTCAATTAATCGATAATTGTATATTCATTGAATATTCTGTAATAATGAGTTGACCAAATCCTGAGATGGTACAAGTCTTGAACACCGCTAAAGAAAGTATACATTTTATCGTCATGCACCAAAAATTACCGTTAACGTCATTTGGCAAGATTTTTTACCGTTATTCGTCATGAAGGTACCCTCATTACGACCCTCATAAATGTAAATATGGATATTACTGTACCTCGTTTATAATGTATCTGATAAAAATCACTCCAATCCTTTTATATAACCATGTATAGCAGTGGTCAAGACTTGTACCATCTCAGGATTTGGTCAACTCATTATTACAGAATATTGAATGAATATACAATTATCGATTAATTGAATATATCTGTTAATGGGATATTTTTTTGCTGACATAAGTTTTGGGTATCCGATTTGCAAAAATCTACTGTACAACGGATAAAAATTGTTAAGTTTATAGAATTCATTGTATTATGCAGCAAACTCTGGATTTGTAAGGCATACTCGGGCTAGCAGGTCAGTTTTGTTGGGCTAGTAGTTCTTCCAACAGGGCTAGTAAAATCCTGCCACCAATTAGCCCTGGGCTAGTGAGCTATAACAAAATGTCTTAACCCCTGTCTTCGGGATTCTCTTTTCATGCATGTTATTTTGTCATCATTCAAATCTTCCAATTCTGAGGCGTTGGTGCTTTGTGCCAAATTGTGATCTTGCACGGAGCACTTCAAACATATCGGTAAAAGAATCGTCCAAATTACATCCCACTGCTGTGTTTGGTAGTAAAGCTATTGTCTGCGTTACACTGTAACTACACATATTCCACTCATGTCTTACTTTTGGAATATATATCCTATTATTTGTCCAAAATACAAAAACGTTGTGAATGTTAGATCTAGATCGTTTTTTATGTCAATTTTCGTGTCTGTATGGCGTGACTTTTAAACGCACAACTGATTAAAATTTTGGTTATATAAATTTAGAGACGGACGCGCGCGGTTCCGTACTGGACGCGGTTTTTTTTTTAAAGTGCTTTTTTCTCATCGACCTTTCACAACACGCGGAAAATCCGACGAACGAGGTATTAATTTGACGGTGCCTAGGTATAATAATGACCGGACTATTTGGACTGTGCAGTGTGAAATTAATTTTTAAATAACTTTTTATTAGTTCAATTGTTTTTACTGTATTTTCATATTTTGCATTTATTTTATTTCATATTTTATTATTCTGGAAATTGTCGTTAATTTAGACATGAGTGTTTTACACAGATTAGGTGTCTTTATCTTTGACAAAGGACAAAGAACTTATTTCATTTAGTTTATTCATTTAATTATTTATTTATTTGTTCTCTGTGGCAATTTGGACAACAATTTACAAATCCGTGTCGGACACAATTACAATCTTTTAATCTATAATTGTTATTTCTATTTGGCATATGTTTAATTGCTTGCGCTTATTTATAATGTGAGTGTTGATATTTTACATTACATTTTTAAATTAGTTTAGATTTTATTGAACGGTCTTGCCGAACTGCTAGATAAAAGTTTAAGGAGTGAAACATTCCTTCTTGATTTCATATACTAGTAGTCGAAACGCCATCTTACCCGGCTATATGTACATAAATTTATCATGAAATCAACAAGTTATAAATAAATCGACTTGGGCCGAATCGACTTAGGGCCGAATCGACTTAAGGGCGGAACGACCTGATACCATTATAATACAGATTGCAGGTAAACATAAACTTTTGCTTTATTTTATCTTATACAAATAGACTCTCCTTTTATCTTGCTTCTATGAAATAACTGTTTACGCCCCCGTTTATTTCGAGGTCCTTTTCGCTTTCCGCTTTAAAACACGTCTCAGTCCTTACAGCTGAACGGACGTGCTGGATCAGCTCCTGATTATCTACTAACTACAAGATGTTATGTTGGCCTGTCAATAAATATTGTTTCATCTTTTTATATTTTGTTTTAGACGGAGAGGATCTTATGATAGACATCAAGGCAGCTAATATGAGCAAAGAAGAGCATAATGCGCGACAAAAGAAGAGAAGACAACTGTTGTTTAATTTCTCCGCCCTTTGTTTGATATGGCTGTTCAGTTTTACAGCGTACAGCGGATTGATAAATTTAGAAGCATCACTACATGCTGACACGGGACTCTACTCTCTATTTGCCATAACATTCGGCGGAGTGATTTCGTGCACTTTTGCGCCAACCGTTATTGCGCGGTTAGGACCGAAAGGTAGTCTTATACTTGCCTGTTTGTTCCAAACTGTCTATGTCATCGCTAACTATTACCCGAAGGCCTACATACTGATATCCGGTGGCGCCATTTCCGGTCTAGCTTCCGGACTAATGTGGACCGTTCAAGGATGTTACATTACTTCAATAGCGGTGGATTATCTTCGTTATGATATCAGCCATACATCTTTGGGTTCCATTTTGAGTAAACTTAGTGGAATTTTTTACATGGCATTCCAAAGTACACAGATATTTGGAAATTTGATATCATCGGTCGTGTTCCAGTTTGGTGAAACAACACTTAAGTTCACAAACAACAGTTTTTGTGGTGCTAACTTTTGCCCATCAGATATGAACATTCATGTACCTATGAACCGCAGTGAAAATGGAACCATAGCAACAACGCACGTGGATGCAGCGAATCATGACAGTGTTAACATATTGATTAGTACATATCTGGCATGTACGGTCGTTGCACTTTTGATTTGTATTTTTGGATTACGTCCCATTGAATCGAGTTTATCGGAGAAGTATGATACCTTCAAAGAGAGATTTGCCTCTAGTTGGGGCTTATTATTCAAAGATCTGAAAGTCCTGTTAGTAGTGCCGTTGTATTTTTATATAGGAATGCAATTGATCGTCATGTTTGTGCAGTTTACAAGGGTAAGAAGACACTTTTAACTTTTACTGTATTTATTTTGTAATTACATGAGCAACACGACGAGTTTTACATGTGGAGCAGGATGTGCGTTCCCTTCTGGAGCACCTGAGATCACCCCCGGTTTTTTTGGTTGGCTTCGTGTTGCTCAGTCTTTTGTTTCTATGCTGTTTTTTTGTGTAATGTTGTTTGTCTTTACGTAATTTTCTTTTTTTGTTCAATGGCATTGTCAGTTTGTTTTTGACTTATGAGTTTGCATATCCCTTTGGTATCTCTTGCCTCTCTTGAACTACCTGACTATCCCTGGTCTAAATAACGACTTGAGAGCAGTTCTACCCTAGAACAGATGCTGACATTTCTACCATAGAACAGATTCTGACATTTCTACCATAGAACAAATTCTGACATTTCTACCATATAACAAATTTTGACATTTCTACCATATAACAGATTCTGACATTTCTACCATGTAACAGATTCTGCCATATCTACCATAGAACAGATTCTGTCATTTCTACCATAGAACAGATTCTGACATTCCTACCATCAAACAGATTATGACATTTCTACCATAGAACAGATTCTGACATTTCTACCATAGAACAGATTCTGACATTTCTACCATAGAACAGATTCTGACATTTCTACCATAGAACAGATTCTGACATTTCTACCATAGAACAGATTCTGCCATTTCTACCATTGAATAGATTCTGACATTTCTACCATTGAATAGATTCTGACATTTCTACCATTGAAAAGATTCTGTCATTTCTACTATACAACAGATTCTGACATTTCTACCATTGAATAGATTCTGACATTTCTACCATTGAAAAGATTCTGTTATTTCTACTATACAACAGATTCTGACATTTCTACCATAGAACAGACTCTTACATTTCGACAATTGAACTGGTCATGACAGTTCTACCATAGAACAGTTTTGGACAGTTCTACCCTATAACTGATTCTGACAGTAAGTAGGTAGAAATATCCTGGAATATTTTAGAACAGTTATATGTCAGATTTATCTGCCAGATCCTAAGAGAGGTTAAAACGGTCCCCAACTGTAGCGTGTACAATCGAATTTCATTTCATCGTATGTGTTAAACAGATTTTGTCCTGCATTTTTGGTAACGGTTTTTATGTAATCCGTCATTCTATAATTCAAATTTCTACAGAATTCGTTGTCATTGAAATTCCCTTAATTCGTATAAAGATAAAAAGGAGAAAATGTGGTGTGATTACCAACGAAACAACTATCCACTAGAGTTAAAACTAAATGGTAGTAAGCAGTTATAGGCAACCTTCAACATTGAGAAAACCCATACCGTATAGTCGGCTATAAAAGGCCCCGACATGAGAAATGTAAAATAATTCAAATGAGAAAACCAACGGCCTAATTTATAACAAAACAATTTACGAAAAACAAATATGACAGTCACGAACCAACGACAACCACTGTACTACAAGCTCTTGACAGGTACATAAAGAATGTGGCCGAGTTAAACATGTTTGTGAGGCCCCCTCCCCCTATTCTGGGAATTAGAATTTATTGAAATCATATATTTTTAACAAACTTCTGTAGAAAACCACAGTTAGGTCATCAAAGTGAAAGGTGGTATGATGAAGCACACTTACAATATTATAAGACTTTAATTTCACTTTATTGCTTTAATGAAAGTGATGACTACACATCAAATGACTATAATAACTGTAATTGGTCAATTGAATGGTTAGGTAGAAATTTTTATATTATCACTTTAAAAATTTTCTTTTTATTTACATGAACTTTGTGGACTTAGCTGTGGTTCTTCTACAGCAGTTGATTAAAAATTATAACCAGTTAAACAGTTTGATTTGATGAAACAAATGCAAGTTGCAATTTGGTTTATAGAATTGTGAATAAACTGCAATAGGTGGTGAGGAACACTTACAATCAAGTCACTGTAATACGAAGTAGATTAAAGCAATTGGTTACAAAATAATACACAGAAAGTTAATGGGGTACATAACATATAGGGGAGTTAACTCTTTAAAAATCAGCTGAACGTTTAAATCACGTACTATTAGTAAATAGAAATCAAGCTTCTCAATGATCAAAATTAGTGTTTGTCACACTGCTATATATCAAATGAAATTATTCCTTTAAATTGTGTGGTTCAAATTTCTTGATTTTTTTTTATATTTTTATATTTTTGTTAGCAGGTCAAAGTAAATATTTTATCAAGATTTTATGAAAATTAAAGGAGCCAAATCAATTTAAGTAAAAGTGTTGGGTACCCCCTTAAGCAGCATATCATTCACCAAAACTAAAGTAGGCTTGGCTGCTCAGGAAAAGTACCAACTACATGTACATGCAGAGGAAGCCGGAGTGCCCGGAAAAAACCCAATGACCATCAGCAGGGAAACTGACAATCCTAGTCAATTAAAAATCGGAATTGAAAGCACCTGCCACGTGTTTGGTTCGAGGATTACAATTAAGTGATACTGTAGTTGAACTACTTATAAATAAGAAGATGTGGTATGAGTGCCAATGAGACTAATTTTAAATTCGGATAAGCGTATTGTGGTACATGTACATTTAACAATAGATAGATATAAGAAGATGTGGTATGAGTGCCAATGAGACTAATTTTAAATTCGGATAAGCGTATTGTGGTACATGTACATTTAACAATAGATAGATATAAGAAGATGTGGTATGAGTGCCAATGAGACCACCCTCCATCCAAGTCACAATGTATAAAAAGTTAACAATTATAGGTCAAATACCGGCCTTCAACACGGAGCCTTGGCTCACACCGTACAGCAAGCTATAAAGGGCACCAAAATGACTAGTGTAAAACAATTCAAACAGGAAAACCAACGGTCTAATCTATATAAAAACGAGAAACGAGAAATACCTATGAACCAAACCAACAAACGAAAACCACTGAACAACAGACTCCTGACTTAGGACAGGTGCATACAAATGCAGCGGGTTTAAACGTTTTAACAGGCGCCAACCTTCACCCTAACCTGAGACAGTAGTGTAACATTACAACATAAAAAGACGCACTATAAAATATCAGTTGAAATGGCTTAACTCGATAAAAAAAACATTTAAACAAAAACAAGTTAACATACACTGAACGAATAAGTTTGATCTATGACACAATATAAATACAATATTAAAACGTAGGTGCCTATATAACATAGACGTTACAGGTAGTGATAAAAAAGAAATAGGAACAGTGTTAGACCACTTAACCGGTGAAGAGGTCATTGATGCATAACAATAAAGTTTTATGTTTAGTAAACTTACTCACTTTGGATGATATTTTAAATATACACTATACTTGATTGATGCTATCAAATAGACCTATTTGAGACATGTCTGTTTTCTTAATTTGATGATAATGTCTTCTTTCTTTCTATATTTAGTCATTCACAGCTTGTAGACTCGGTGTGGGTTGGATTGGGTACACCATGCTTTGTTTTGGTGCCGCTGACACGATTGGGTCTTTGGTTTTTGGATATATTGGCAAATACACCGGACGAATACCGCTATTTTTGTTTGCTACAGTGTTGGAATTAGGACTTTTGGCGTTCATGATGCTATGGGACATAACGAACGACACATCACCTGTATTCTTCTTCCTTATACCTCTCTCATGGGGTCTGTGTGACTCAATATGGATGACGCAGAGTATGGGTAAGTAAATTCCTCATACCTCTATCATGGAGTTTGTGTGACTCAATATGGATGACGCAGAGTATGGGTGAGTAAATTCCTCATACCTCTATCATGGGGTCTGTGTGACTCAATATGGATGACGCAGAGTATGGGTAAGTAAATTCCTCATACCTCTATCATGGGGTCTGTGTGACTCAATATGGATGACGCAGAGTATGGGTAAGTAAATTCCTCATACCTCTCTCATGGGGTCTGTGACTCAATATGGGTGACGCAGAGTATGGGTAAGTAAATTCCTCATACCTCTCTCATGGGGTCTTTGTGACTCAATATGGATGACGCAGAGTATGGGTAAGTAAATTCCTCATACCTCTCTCATGGGGTCTTTGTGACTCAATACGGATGACGCAGAGTATGGCTAAGTAAATTCCTCATACCTATCTCATGGGGTCTGTGTGACTCAATATGGATGACGCAGAGTATGGGTAAGTAAATTCCTCATACCTCTCTCATGGGGTCTGTGTGACTCAATATGGATGACGCAGAGTATGGGTAAGTAAATTCCTCAAACCTCTCTCATGGGGTCTGTGTGACTCAATATGGATGACGCAGAGTATGGGTAAGAAAATTCCTCATACATTTTTGTACCTCTCCCATGGGGTCTTTGTGACTCAATATGGATGACGCAGAGTATGGTTAAGTAAATTCCTCATACCTCTCTCATGGGGTCTGTGTGACTCAATATGGATGACGCAGAGTATGGGTAAGTAAATTCCTCATACCTCTCTCATGGGTTCTGTGTGACTCAATATGGATGACGCAGAGTATGGGTAAGTAAATTCCTCATACCTCTATCATGGGGTCTGTGTGACTCAATATTGATGACGCAGAGTATGGGTAAGTAAATTCCTCATACCTCTATCATGGGGTCTTTGTGACTCAATATGGATGACGCAGAGTATGGGTAAGTAAATTCCTCATACCTCTATCATGGGGTTTGTGTGACTCAATATGGATGACGCAGAGTATGGGTAAGTAAATTCCTCATACCTCTCTCATGGGGTCTGTGTGACTCAATGTGTATGCCATGTAGACGCGCATTTCGTCTACAAAAGACTCATCAGTGACGCTCGAATCAAAACAGTTTAATAAGGCAAATAAAGTACGAAGTCGAAGAGCATTTAGAAAAATCAAATCCGGAAGGTTTTATATACCTAAGTCGACACAAAACATTTCATAACGAAGAAAAGTTGTTTACAACGCAACAACACAACTAAATCAAACCGCTGAATATACCTTATTAAAATGTTTACTAAATTAGAAAAAAAGTGTTAAACGCAACGTATCAATTTCTAAACAGAATATGGCAATAAAATGTAGAAACCGGTCTAACATCAAAACGTTGTGATTGGAAAACGGCACCCTAAACAACGGTTTTCAACCAATTCGCTGTTTCAGAATCTAATGCATTCTTGGTAATATTTTCAAAAGTGTACATCAAAGCGTCGTGATTGGTTAAAAACGTTCTAAACAATGGAAAATCAACCAATGACGTAACGTTTTTTTTTCATTTTGGGGTACGAACAATGAGATTACCCATAATCCTTTACGTTTTACGTTTTAAAAGTTTGAAAATACAATTATAATTTAATTACTGTTTAAAAGGTTTATTGAAATCTATGATATTAAAGTGACATGTAAAACAAATCTCTGAGTTAACCTTCATTTATGCTTTTCTTTTTTATTTATTCACAGCACTGGTGGGTTCAGCTTTCCATAAAAACCCAGAAGCAATGTTTGCATTGTGTATAGCGTTCCAGGCGTTAGGATCGGCCGTGGCTTACATATACAACATTTATATTTGTGAATATGTAAAGATATATATCGTGTGTATAACATTAGTGGTATCTGTTTTTCTTGTTCTAATTCTAGAAATACGGATCAGACGTGCAGATAAAATCAGAGAAAGCCAAGTAAAACCGGATAATTCAAATTCCGTAAAAGAGTCTCTGTTAAAACAGGAAATTCAAAATATGCATCCGGGAGATAGGGCATGACGGATAACACAATTCGCCATTTAGAATCTAAAACATTTAGTGATAAACTTTTCAATTGAAGTACGCAAAAACTGTTTGGTTAGTAACGTCTTATCTGCAACCTTGACATTAAAAGTTCAACAACAAATAGCGAAATATTTTACGTCTGTACATGAGTAACTTTTAATTGACCAACTCTTACAATTTGGACTTTTGTGATTTTCACAAATTCCGAATTCTAACTCGATAGTTAGTCCCACTTACTGGCCCTATAAGACTCCGAGACTCGAAGAGTCTATTTTTGAGTGCCCTTTTAACAATGAAGCAAGAGAAATGTTGTTTTTAAAGCTATATCAATTGAGCTTCAGTTGGCTCGTGAAAGTGACCTTACATTTAAGCTAAATATTGAACTTGTTGTGTCTGTACAGTCTCATATCAGAATTACACAAAGATACAGGACATACAATTAAAATTCTGAATCTCCACTTTATCACAGTTCACTTCAGTCCAGTTTTACTAACATTAATGTGCTGCGTCGGATAGAAATCGCCCTTATGCAAGTGCACGTATGTACATGCACATGTATAAGACTTTGATTGATTTTGGAACATTCAAATACGAATTAAATAAAAGATGAATTCTGGTCTGTTTTGTAGGGTTCTTATAACAACTCAATTTTAAAACAGTTACATACTTTCCGTAGAGATTTTTTTCAACTCGAAATAGGTTAACAATTGCATTGATATTCATTTTCATAAGGTCGTTTTTATCCGACGCAGCTCATTTCATATTTTATTGGTATTGTTTTTGTTTTTATTTTGTTTATAATTTGTATTACATGCATTTTTATATATTATGTTTTCGTCTTTATCAAATACACCTTGTCGAGATTTAGTCCATTCCGGGGAAAACAGTCATTTAGACAACTTCCTGTTTGGGTCAAATATTGCAAAAACAAAGGTCATCAGAAATCAGCTAAGGGAGTAACCCGAATAATTCAGTCGTTATATTCCACTGCTCTACGATGGCTACATTAACGCCTGAAGGCCTTGTCAATAAAAAAATCGTCAAATTATCATTCGGAATTACCTCGGGATTAACCTATCTCGATAACATTGAGCTATTAGCTGATTGGCTCTCTCCCACAGAGAGCACCAATCAAAATCCTGGATTCGTGACGCGTTTTTATTTGTATAGTATAAAGAATTCAGATCCTCGCGAGTGGGAGAGTCGATCACGGGGAGGGACTGAATTATTCGGGTTACTAAGGGAGGAAAAAGTTTGGAAAGTGAACATTTTAAAATTTTGATAAAGCAATTTTTAAAAGACAAATTGAAGCCATTAAAATGCTTTGATTGATGTGTTTACGATGGTTTAAACATGTCTCTATGAAAAGTTTTATGCACAATATATTGTTTGAACAAGGCCCCAGATAACTTCAACTGGTTTGAAAAAGTTGTCTAATATATGAATTAATCCGGATAGGCATAATTAGCGATAAGGTGTATTGTTCTTTGTGTTCATATTTGTTGATGGAGAAGACGTTACTGATGTTGTTCTGTATAACTTGTGTCCAATCCCTTTTGCTACTTTTGCAAATAAAATATGTTTAAACTAAGACGAGTCTTGCTGAAAAAAAAATATGGATTTACCAAGCTGACAATGAAAAATCACTAGTCAAGTGAAAACAAACAACTCGATGACAAAAAAAAAACCAAAAAACAAAGAAGACAAAACAACAATAAAAATTTCCATTAAAGAGTGGCGACAAGAGGGGTTGTCATACCGAATTCCCGAAAACATAAAACATTCTTTCCTAGATCCCGCAAATCTAAACATTTATTCTCGAGTCCCGATAAGTTCAAGTCTCGAATTCTCTCGAAAATGAAGGCCTACAGTACTCCCGAATTTCCGCAAAAATAAAGACCCAATCCCGACGTCCCGAAAAAGTTCCTCCGCTCCTCATTGAACATATTAAATTAATCTGATGATATGTTTCTGGCGGTTATAATTAAAATAATTGATGTCATAAAGTAATCACAATTATCCTTAAGTTTACAAATTGTACAATGTAGTTTGTTTCAATTGTTAAATACCAGTATATACCGATATAAATAAAAAAAATCTAAAAATTCTGTATTTAACGAAGGTAACACATTTAACAAAAAGATGTTAATCTCCCCCAAGGCCTGTATTATACATGTAAGCCACTGTAAAACTAAAAAGCAAAATTGAATTCATGTCCGAAATAGGGTTCATATGAAACTTGAAATATTTATTAAGGCGATATTCAAAACAGGTCTTTAATTACATTTAAATACTTGTTAGCACATACTTACAACTTTTAGCACATATTTACAACTTCTTGTCCAATCAAATTGCTTATATTTGCCTTCTAATTTTCATAGTACATACTTTTCCCGTGTACTAAGTAACTACGCATGAATGACCACAAGGGTAAGATTTCATTGTATCGTAATCAAGATATTTAAAACAAAAATTGCCACTGGCTATTTTGAAATAAAATGCTGTGTTCCAAATTAAATTAAATAGTTTGTAATTAGTTTTCACGTTGATTTTTAAATATCCTGCTATTAAAATCTTTGGATCTAAAAAATGTTTTTGACAATTGCAAATTTTTTTCATTTAAATAAAGGGTATCATCCATGCAATTACTTTGTACACAAAAAAGTGTGTACTATGAAACCTTGTGAAGGGAAATTAAAGCAACTTGGTGATAATTTTTAAAACTTTCTTAAGGAAGGTGATCTATTTCGTCATGAATTGATTGATTTATTGATTATCGGTTGCTTAATTTCCAGTGGCAAATATTTCATGCATGTTCAGGACGATGTCATGAATTGAAAAACTGTGATTATGTCTGAAGATAATGTGCCAATTATATATATAAACATATTCTGATAAATCTTTTAGTTTTAATTTGAAATAATAATAAAAAAAAAAACAACACAAAACCTATAATCTCTGATCTATTTGTAGTTGCTTTTTAATGCCTATATCTATGGGGACAAACTATCTAAAAATACTGCAATTTAATTATTGCCTGCTTTTGGTCAATTTATTTGGTCATCTTACATACTTACACCAGCAGCTACAATCTTTTCATTCTGGAGTCAAGGGCCTTTTGAAATCACTTTTACGACTTTGCCCCCAGCAGAGCTATAGAAAAACAGTACATTAACGGGTGTTACACGGACACTTTTTAGATGATACACGGACACTTTTTAGTTGTTACACGGACACTTTTTATGAATAGAATCACTCGTGCATGATCAGTGAGTTCATGGGCACTTTAAATTTCAATTAGATTTGAACTTTTTGTTTCACCGACATATTTCCTGTCTTTTTAATTAAAAATATTTACATTAGCATCAATAACTATATTTTTTTTCAAACAATTCCAGTAACTATTCATATTAGTACACTAAGGGGTTGACCATTTAACTTCAAAAGGCCGGTTATGGTTTTTTCCTAAAAAACACATTTTCATCCCCAATTTTATGAGAAAAAATATATAATGGTCAAGCAGATGACACTGAAAATAATGTTCTGGCTCCTGATTTTCCGAATACCGTATCTAATAGTGCTGATTTCGAAAAAAAAAATATTTGGGCGATAGCGTTGGAAAACTAAATAATTTTCTTACTCAGAAAAGAACACACCCCCTTTTGAAGCTAAATGGTCGGTCCGTAAATGTATTTTTTTTCAATATATGGACATGAATAGTATTCTGGACAATGCTGAAAGAAATGCTGGTACCAACGTTTATATTTCAATAAAAAGACAGGAAATATATATATAAAAATCAAATCTAATCAAAAGATAAAATCCCTATCAACTCACCAATGCACGATTGATCCTATAATTAAAAAGTGTCCGTGTAATACATGTTCAAATATGCAGCAAATCGTAAAGAAAATCATTCAACTTACGTCATCAATTTTGGACGGTAAGCTCTGATTGGATCATATAGTGACACGTGTTTAATCCTGATCAACACTATCAGAGACATAAAAACCTATAAGCATGAACATTTTTTTTTAATCCAAAACATATGCCTATATATATATATTATAACAAGACATGGACATGGCACATCCTGCATTTTTTTAACCCCCCCCCCCCCCCCAAATAAAATCAAATGGTAGCTTGCTTACCTCTGAAATCTTTTTTATACATTTCTTACTTGCGAAGTTGCATTTCAAAAAGTCTCAAATGTGTATAACATTCACCTTTAACTTGAAATGGTTCTTTTTATAAAGTTATTAGATTCTTGAATTTTTTGAGAAAAAACTCTCGGCTGAAGGGAAGTGAGAAAAAAAATTGAGTTTAAACTGTAACTTACATTAACTGGTATATGGCCATTTAAGTTTCTAATATCTTTAGTTTTGCTACCTCTTCTAAATGCAAAATGTACTTCTTCCTTCTTGAAACGTCGTACAAGTCAGATACAAAACAAAGGTAACAAAAAACAGGCCGGAAACAACCTGCCGTATAGTTTGTCTGCACTTGTAGTCAGATCAAGGTCCTCGGCTATCGCCTCGGACCTTGACCTGACTACTCGTGCAGAAAAACTATCCGGCAACGGTTGTTACCGGCCTGTTTCTTTGTTACCTTTGTATTGTATCTACTACATATATATATTTATTAAAGGTATTGGTCACATGACGTAGTTACGGTCAAGTGATTGTTTACTATAAACACGTGTGTGTGTTTACATCAAGCACATGGTGTGTGTTTATGTTCTATTTGATTGGATGGCATATACCCGCAATGCGGTTTTTACGGGTATATGCGCTCATGAGATTCGTGAAAAGCATGATTAAGTATTACTTAAGGGGTTCGTTTGAGAAAATAAAGTTATTCGAAGTTTGCCTATAGTTAACGTAGCAGCAGTTCGTTATATGTTTACCCACCCACCCACCCCTTTTATGAGTTGGTTATTGTTAACGTGGGCATATAAATATATTACACTATATTAATATGAATTTTTCCTCTTTTGTAGATAGTTTTTGATTGTGTTACTGTATATTCTATTATATGATTGGATTGGTAGTGTGCTTGTCTGAATTATAGTGAAGGACTTTAGTTTGAAGAATTGTGAATGTAAATAATATTAAAGGCTGCTACACCTGTAGGCACACTTATCCTATTTATGTGTTGTTTTATTTATTAAATAATTTATATTCGTTTGAGTTGGCGAATTAGAATATAATTTACAATGATACAAGTCTAGGTTAGTCTATGGAAAGGTATATACTATGAAATTTAGAGCGAGGGGCTTGCCCCGAGCTCTTAATTTCATAGTATATATCTTTCCATAGACTATCCAATTTAGCACATATTTACAACTCGAGTAATCTTTTAATTGGTCTATTGATAGTTTATTTTGGCTGACTACTTGTATCACAGGTGTTTGTAAAAAGGAGCTCATTAACGAAGTTTTGTAAATCTACTCACTAGTATTATTGTAAAATATGTGATTTCAAAAGGCCCTTCACTCCAGAATGAAAAGATGGTAGCTGCTGATGTAAGTATGTATACTGATATAAAGCGGTGTTTTACTATACATGTTCTTCTTACATGGCAAGATGACAAAATAAATTGACCAAAAGCAGGCAATAATAAAATTGCAGTGGAAGCTTTACATGTTTTGAAAACATTTTTTAATTTCACAGTAAAACTAAAGCTATAATAAATTTGAAACATAGAGATAGTTTGTCCCCATAGATATAGTCTAGCAGATAGGCATTAAAAAGCAACTACCAATAGATCAGAGATTATAGGTTTTGTGTTTTGTGTTTTCTTTTTTTTATTATTTCAAAGTAAAAACTAAAAGATTTATCAGACTATGTTTATATATATATATATAGGTGGCACATTATCTTCAGACATAATCACAGTTTTTCAATTCATGACATCGTCCTGAACATGCATGAAATATTTGCCACTGGACATTAAGCAACCAATAATCAATAAATCAATCAATTCATGACGAAATAGATCACCTTCCTTAAGAAAGTTTATCACCAAGTTGCTTTAATTTTCCTGCACAAGGTTTCATAGTACACACTTTTCTGTGTACAAAGTAATTGCATGGATGATACATTATCATAAAGATATCGTTGTACTCTAATCAAGGTATAAAGAACCATATGTATTACCCTTTATTTAAATGATAAAATTTGCAATTGTCAAAAACAATTTGTAGATCCAAAGATTTTAATAGCAGGATATTTAAAAATCAACGTGAAAACTAATTACGAACTATTTAATTTAATTTGGAACACAGCATTTTATTTCAAAATAGCCAGTGGCAATTTTTGTTTTAAATATCTTGATTACGATACAATGAAATCTTACCCTTGTGGTCATTCATGCGTAGTTACTTAGTACACATGAAAAGTATGTACTATGAAAATTAGAAGGCAAATATAAGCAATTTGATTGGACGAGAAGATGTAAGTATGTGCTAAGTGAGTAGATTTACAAAACTTCGTTAATGAGCTCCGTTTTACAAACACCTGTGATACAAGTAGTCAGCCAAAATAAACTATCAATAGACCAATTAAAAGATTACTCGAGTTGTAAATATGTGCTAAATTGGATAGTCTATGAAAAGGTATATACTATGAAATTAAGAGCTCGGGGCAAGCCCCTCGCTCTAAATTTCATAGTATATACCTTTTTATAGACTAACCTAGACCTCGTCCAATCATATTGCTCGTATATGCCTTCTAATTTTCATAGTACATACTTTTTCCGTGTACTAAGTAACTACGCATGAATGACCACAAGGGTAAGATTTCATTGTATCGTAATCAAGATATGAAAATAAAAATTGCCATTGGCTATTTTGAAATAACATGATGTGTTCCAAATTAAATTAAATAGTTTGTAATTAGTTTATAAATTGGTTTTCAAATATCCTGCTATTAAAAATTTTGGATCTAAAAAATGTTCTTGACAATTGCAAGTTTTTTTTTTCGTTTAAATAAAGAGTAACACATACGGTTCTTTATACCTTGATTAGAGTACAACACTATCGTAAAATTGTAATAATTTATCATCCATATGCAATTATACTTTGTACACAAAAAATGTGTGTACTATGAATTATTGTGAAGGGAAATTAAGGCAACTTGGTGATTTTATTAACTTTCTTGGGGAAATTGATCTATATTTCGTCATGAATTGATTAATTGATTATTGGTTGCTTAATGTCCATTGGCAAATATTTCATGCATGTCTTGAAATGAAAAACCGTGATAATGTCTGAAGAGAATGTGCCACCTATATATATATATACATATATACATATTCTGGTAAATCTTTTAGTTTTTACTTTGAAAAAAAACCACAAAACCTATAACCTCTGATCTATAATTATTAATAGTTGCTTTTTAATGCTATCCGCAAGACTTTCTACGGGGACAAATATCTATATGTTTCAAATAATTTTAATTTATTATAGCTTTAGTTTTACTGTGAAATTGAAAAGTGTTTTCAAAACATGTATAGTTTCCACTGCAATTTAATCATTGTCTGCTTTTGGTCAATTCATTTTGTCATCTTACCATGAAAAGAAGTACAAGTATAGTAAAACACTGCTTTATATCAATATATATAATTACACCAGCAGCTACCATCTTTTTATTCTGGAGTCACTAGGGCCCGTTTTGAAATAACATATCTTACAATGATACTAGTGAGTAGATTTACAAAACATAAAATTCGTTAATGAGCTCTGTTTTACAAACACCACAGTCCTGTGATACAAGTAGTCAGCCAAAATAAACTATCAATAGATCAATTAAAAGATTACTCGAGTTGTAAATATGTACTAAATTGGATAGTCTATGAAAAGGTATATACTATGAAATTAAGAGCTCGGGGCAAGCCCCTCGCTCTAAATTTCATAGTATATACCTTTCCATAGACTAACCTAGACTTATGCAATAGATTAAACGAAAAGGATAATATATCAAATGCATGAAATGGGTTATGTAATAAAATAAATAAAAAGGATGATATTGTTTAACACTTGACCAGGAGGCTATACAATAGTAGGTCAATGTCCAAAAAATATTAACATTTTTGTAACTATGACGCTTAAAAACCGGGGATAGGCAATGTATACCGAAAAGTGACGTTTTATGGCATATTTGATAGATTTTTCATATTTAAGCTTGAATTTGAGCGTCTTTAATGACCAAATCAGTTCAAATATTTGACATAAACTAATTGAATCGACTGAAGTAGACACTTAAGCGTTTAAAAAATGTCAAAATCTTTCGTCAGATGTTCTTCGAATTTTAGGCCTAAACTAGCCCTTACCAGACCTTCTCCTTTGTAAGATGTTACTACGTGTGAAGAACGGGCCAATAGGATAAACTACAAACTGTATTTAAAATAAGATAAAAGAAGAAAAACATTTTTTTTATTTAAAAATCTTAACCAGAAATTATGACACCTTGTAAATGAAATACATTAATTGTATACAACTTAATGTGTAAACTGGTTGGCTGACTGTTGATGTTAAATTAACGTTACTTTTAGTACTCCTAGATGTATCATGGAGGACAGTCGTTATTGGTTGGGGATACCGGCGAGCAGGTAAACTGACAATCCTTGTCAATAAAAATCGGAATCGAGTGCAACTTGCCATGAGCGGTATTCGAACTCACAACCTCGATGTTGGCATGCTTGATATTTCCTCAGAGATCACTCAGTCCCTTGAAGTTTAAAAGTAAAATAACAAAAATACCGAACTCCAAGGAAAATTCAAATCGGAAAGTCCCTTATCAAATGGCAAAAATCAAAAGCTCAAACACATCAAACGAATGGAAACAACTGTCATATTCCTAACTTGGTACAGGCATTTTCTTATACATGTAGAAAATGATATTCATACAATCCTAGTCTAAGGGTTTTTAAAAAGATAAGGGCTGTCAGAATATTGACCAATGTATTTGCTAATACAAGCATTTTCATTTTCAGTTCTAAACATAACGTATCTTATTACCTTTAATGTTAATGCAATTGTATACAAATACAGTTCTTTTACAGAGTTCTCTCAAAATCTTTTTTCCCTGGTGATCCCCAAAGAAAACCTACTGGTCCTCACTTTTATTTCTATTGCACAATATCAAAGTGGGGTAGGTCCTTTGCAAAATGATGCTAATGTTACATCACTTCAAACGCAATAAGTGAATCAGCCTCACATGTTTAACCCCGCCGCATTTTTGCGACTGTCCCAAGTCAGGAGCCTCTGGCCTTTGTTAGTCTTGTATGTTTTTTTAATTTTAGTTCACTTATATGTTTGGGAGTTTAGTATGACGTCCATTTTCACTGAACTAGTACTCATTTTTATTTAGGGGCCAGCTGAAGCCCGCCTTCCGGTGCGGGATTTTCTCGTTGTGTTGAAGACCCATTAGTGGCCTTCGGTTGTTTTCTTCTCCTTGGTCGGATTGTTGTCTCTTTGACATATTCCCCATTTCCATTCTCAATTTGATCATTTCGCGCACTTAACACAGCACTTAAAAAAATCCTTGGCAGATCTCTGATGTTACATGATATAGTAACACAAAACGAAAAACCGGGGTAATCTCAAGTCTTAGACTAGATGTATTATTTACTTTTGTTTTGGTAAGTTGCTATCCAATAGTCGTTTACCAATTACACGCTTTTATTCATACATTTGTGTAGTTAGGGGACGGTCATTTTATATTCTGGGGTCGCGGGTGCAGAAGATTTTTTTGCAGATTGACTATTCATTTTCACATGTTGCTACGCATGCTTATTTTTTCCGCGGATAATATTCTTTTCCAGCCTGTCTTTCAGCTCCTACCAGACCAGTATGTTAATTTTCAAAATCTCCCTCACCACTCCCTCCGAAAATCAAACGCTCTTCCCCTTATATCTCAATCAACAAGACAATCAAATAACGCTACATAATGCTATCATCTTCTTTCAAGTGAACTTAAACTTGACCTAAAGTGATAGACCTGCTGGGTTCTTGGGATACTCACTAATGTGTTAGTAACATTCAATAAAGAATATAGCCTTTTAATTATATATGTGTCATAGAATTAAAATAATCTATGTTTCTTAAAGCTTACAGTATTTAGGTCAAAATGGTTGACAAAAATGTACCTGTCCAGTGACTTTTAAGAGTTAAACCCTACAATTTGGTCACGCTCTTAAATTGTCCGTTGGTAAAATTTAAAAAATAATAAGAAACTAAGATTTCAAATCCCTCAGGCAAAGTTGGCCTTAGATGAAATGCGCTTCGGACGCATGACATTATAAAGTGTTGTTTTCATTTTTCTATAAATTTATATCAAACAAAAATGGTTTCATATTTTAATGCATGTACCACAATCTCACTGTAAACGCATAATTTCCTCTCTTGTTTTCGTGGTTGATATTGTCGAACGTCTCTCAAGCGAAAAAATACGTCTTAGTTCGAACCGGAAAGACCGACCTGATAAAATATAAATAAAAAAGTTAACACCATAGTTACAATGAGATATGACGGAGACAAACTGTTGGATAGGATAGAGAGAGAAAAACATCCGAACATTCGAGTTTTCCATGGCAACCATCCATATAAATGATATAACCACCAATGGTAACATCGTGATAAGGTATGTGAAGGCGATGGCTAATAACATAACTGTTGTTTTATGAGATCTCGCTACAACACGTGATCTTAAAGTTAAGCTGACAGCCGCTTTTCGCACGCAATATATCTGATAAATCACTAGAGTGTTGCATACCAAAACCAGTAAAAACGGAAGGGTAAGTACCAGTGTCAATTGATAGAAATAGATATGTAGTTCGATATACTCTGGATGCGTATACGTATTACCTTGACAAAGTCCACCGATGTTTTTCATCATGATAAAACGGAATGTTTGGGTAAAACACATGACCACGAATGTTGACATAATTGTCACAAACGCCCCTGTTTGAGTTCTAATTAAGGTTTTCCTGAATGGCAAGCACATGGCTACACCTCGCTCAGCCGCCATTCCAACAATTAGCCAAGATGACATGAGATAACACACGTGTTCATAAAAACTAAATAACTGACACGAGAGGTCGCTGTAATACGTAAAGACGCCATCTTTTTCATTGTCAACCATCATTTCGTGAATCAATGTTATTTGCCGATTTATCAAACAGAGGCTGTCGAATACTGCCAACGCACACAGGAAGTGACTGTAAGACTTCCTTCGAAGAGACTTGGTTTTCATCAATAAAAATGACATAACATTTCCACAGATTCCGACGACTACGATGATTGGAGTTATTATCTCCTGTATCCAAAATCCCCATTTCGCTGGTTCTTGACCTATGAAAAACATCAAAATATTTTGTTTAAAGCAGAGATACTGTATATCATATTTGTTTTTCGTACATAATCTAAGCCATTGCATGATTTTCTCATTTGAAACATTTTGTTATGTCGGGGATTTTATAGCTTACAATACGGTATGGGTTTTGCTTATTGTTGAAGGCCGTACAATGACCTATAGTTGCTAACACCAACGTCATTTGGTCTCTGGTGGATAGTTGTTTCGAGTCATTGGAAATCATACCACATCTCCTTTTAATGTTATTTTGACTATTATGAAGGTCGTTTCATTTGTGCTCTTTATCTTCTTTATTTGATTACTAAGTAAACTTTAAATGTTCTTTTATATATCAGTTTATACTTTACTAATAAGTATACAAAGGTTAATGAAGTTATTCTCTTCACTTGACATTACATAGATAAGTATACAAAGGTTAATGAAGTTATTCTCTTCACTTGACATTACATAGAGAGAATAACAGGAATAATAAACAAATATTGGACAGAAAAATCGACCAGACAAACTACCATTACAATGACTTCGTACTTTATTTGGCCTTTTTATTTTTTTTTTATTCGAGCGTCACTGATGAGTCTTTTGTAGACGAAACTCGCGTCTCAATCCTTGTATCTATGATGAGTTTATTGACCCGTCCGAGGAAAAGGACGTACACAACAATACAGACTAATCCTGCCTTAGAACTGGAACAAAATGTAGTTTGGTTAAATCAGTTTTACGTGCGTACCGCCAATCTTTGCCCACCTGCTAGATTATATGTCACGAAAGTAAAACACACAAAGAAAAGCACACAGTCAATCTGCACACAGGATGACCACAACATGTACAGCTAGCCAACTAAAGGTAGCTGCGGTTGTTAATAATTGTTTATATCCGTTTTGCGGAACAGGAAAAAGGAAAAATTGAAACTCCGAATGACTGTCATACAAGAAAGATGACTAACGCAAAATCAAAATTGGATTGACTCGCCGATTTCCCATGAGAGTTGGCTTTACGAGATCAGGGATAGGACCGCCATTTTCTTTTTCCTACCACGGTTTTTTACTTTTTTGCAGATGAATTTTTTGTTTGTTTGTTATTTGTTTTTTTGTTTTTTTTGCTTTATATTACCGAGGAATATCTTTCATATTACAGTCGTAGACCTTTGAAGAAGGTTCTATTGTACTTTTGGGTCCTCAATACTCTTCAACTTTGTATAATTTCATTTGGCATTTTCAACTTTTTGAATCGAACGTCACTGATGAGTTTTTTGTGGACGAAGCGCTCGTCTTGCGTACAACATTTTAATCCTAGTATCTGTGTTGAAGTTTATTCACATTGTTATATGTAGTGACTTACCGATAGCTAACAGTGTTTTGTTTGTACCATTCAAATCCATATAGATACAATTCCGAATGGATGTATGCTGAAAATAGACAGAAGACGGTCAGTGATATCTTTTTAAATCTTAGTCAACAGTAGTTTACCGATGTTCAAGTTTCATAAGTCGATTAAGAAGCTAAAAGGATTGATTAATTGATTGATAGATTGAATCGAGTTTAACGTCACTTTCAGCACCATTTGATATTTCATGGCGGTCAGCTGTTATTGGTGGAGGAAGCCGGAGTGCCCAGAAAGTACCACCGGACTTAGACAGGAAAACTTACGATCCTAGTAAATTAAGATTGGAGTAAGAGCACATGCCACGTGTGGGATTCGAACTCACATTCTCAGTGTTGACAGGCTAGTTATATAGTAGCATTTGAGGGCAATCACATGAACTCTTAAAGGAGCAAAACCGGTTGCGTTGACATGGTAATTGTCTCCCTCTTTGCAAGCATTAGCCACCATGTGAATCAACATTCACATGGTGGCTAACATTCAGTTAAGGATGTAGTTAGGTGAAATAAAAAAAAACTAGAATTTAAAATTGATACTATATTAAAGTCAGAAGAGCATTAGCTTGTGCACTTCCAAGTAGACACAATAATCTTGTCAGTTCAAGTTCGCCAACGCAAAGACTTAAAGAAACAGCATAAATTATAGTAAAAGAATTTATTCTGACGAAGAACATATTTGAACCAAGCGTAATTGCGCTGATTTTGCATAAAATGACTCTATTTAGATTCAAATCGTTATATTTCCATCAAATTATCGTATTTCCTTTGGTAGGGTTGGAAATTGCACATATTTATACAGAAATGCTTGTGCACTTCCAAGTAGACACATTAATCTTGTCAGTTCATGTTAGCCAACATAAAGACTTAAAGAAACAGCATATAAAGAAAGAATTTATTCTGACGAAGGAAATTTTTTAACCAAGCGTAATCGCGCTGGTTTTTTTCATAAAATGACTCTATTTTTATTCAAATTGTTATAATTCAATCAATTTTTCGTATTTCTTTTGATAGGGTTGAAAATTGTACATATTTATACAGAAATGCTTGTGCACTTCCAAGTAGAATAAATCAGACATAATGATCTTGTTAGTTCAGACAAGTTCGCCAACGTAACGACTTAAAGGAAGAGCATACACGTAACAGTGAAAGAATTGATTTGACGAACCAAGCGCAATTGCGCTGAAAAGGCGAAGTTATTCGGTCTTAGAAGTCGATAAAAATTAACTTTATTTTTACATGGTATGCAAAAGTTCGATTGAGTAATTAGTCCTCCTTCCTTATCAGTTTTGAAAAAATAAACTTTTGAAATAATTTTTCTGGTGATAATCGGAGAGTAGCGCGCCCACGTGATAGACAACATAATCAAGTAATGCTTTTCTTGTACTTTGTTGAGGTCATATTATTCGAACACAACATGTTGCCAAAGTAAGGTAGGAGTCCTCACACATGTGTCAGGCTTGATTTAAATATATAATTATTTTTAGGAAAAATATGTTTTGTTAATGACGGAAACAAAGACAAATGCAAGCTGATGCAAGTTGATTAGGTACTAGTAACAGTTAAAATTTATTGTCATTCATTTATTTATAGAAACGTGGTCAAGTTTCAATCGTTCGTCGGTGATCGTACTATTGTTTGTCTATTTATTTTAAAACCATGCAGAATGAAACTTTTTTATACTAAAAATCCAACAGAGAGGAAAACAGAAAAAAATGACTACCGGCGTCATTAGAGGGTCTGGATGGGGTCCTTCATTTCTGTAGTCATTTTAAACCATTTTTTTCTTCCCCTATATATTTAAGCACCCGGATTTTCTCTATTCTTTCTATTCTTTTTTTTTCGGTCCATTTTCTGTATTCTGTCTATTATTCTCTATTCTGTAAACCTAACCCAGACCATAGGCGGATCCAGGTTGAAAAAAAATGGTTGATTATATAGGGAATCACTGAAGCATGACTGGAGCGGCCCCCCCCTTTTAGGTCAGTCAGTGGGCCCCCCCTTATGAAAAGTTCTGGATCCGCTACTGCAGACTCTCTTGTTTCGACGTTGTCATAATATATCTTATAAACAAGACATGTCTTTTTAATTGAAATAAGAATTATTCTTGTGTAAGTTCCTTAAAAGGTGAGCATTTGTCTGTACACATTGTGTTTTCTCATTAAGAGCTAAAATTACATTTATAGTGGATATGTTAATTAGAAGACGCTATATTGATCTAGAATGTCAGATTTTAAACAGTTTCTCGTAAGACATAATTTAGGCAACATCTCTACATTAAGCATGTAAGAATTCAATCAGAATCACATAAAACATATTAATGACAATAGTTGTACGCATTATACAAAAGGAAAAAGGCCGGAATGCAAGAACATTGTGAAAAAAAACTAATCATGCCATTGGACGTTTAACAGCCATCAATCCGTAACGAATCTCAATGTGGAGCAGGATCTGCTGACCCTTCCGGAGCACCTGAGATCACCCCCAGTTTTTGGTGGGGTTCGTGTTGCTCAGTCTTTAGTTTTCTATGTTGTATAAATTTCTTTTCTTTATATTTTAGCATCCCATTATTTTCTATTCTTTATTTTTTGGACTAATTTTCTCTATTCTAAATTTTTTTGCCTTTTATTCTGCACATTTTGTCCATTATTCTCTATTCCGTAAACTCCATCAACACCCTCATTTATTGAAATTTTTGACTGTACTTATAAATACATTGAACTCGTGAAATTTATGTTTGAGAATTGCAATGAAATAGAAAGAATTGCAATTAAGCATAATAAGCGAATATCAATATGTTTCGTAATAAATCTATATCATGAGGTTCTGGATTTTTTTTTTTTTGGGGGGGGGGGGGGGCCTTCATTTCTGTGTTCTTTAATTCTTTAGGCCATTTCTCTCTATTCTTTATATTTTAGCACCTCATTATTCTCTATTCTTAATATTTTGGGTCCATTTTTTCTCTATTCTTTATTAATTTTGCCCATTATTCTCGTTCATGTAAACCACCATCCACACCCTCTGTTATACGTTAGGATCAGTGTAAGGGACCAGTACAGGACCGGAGAGGTATTTTCGGCTATAAGGTGCCATAGGTCATTTCTGTATCCGTTCCTGAGTGCGATGAACATAAAACACAATGGAACCCACCTAAAAAAACAGTTTCAATAATTGGTTGCTCGCAGTAATTTCTCTTGCGCTACAACTTTTATTATAATAAATACATCGGTAGTACATGTACTGTCTTCTACGGTTCGATAAATCACAATGACATAGACACTAAATATAGCAGCAACATGATATAAAACTGACAAACTTCGTAGCAACTGTGAGCACCTTCGACACTGATATATTTAAATCCTAAACTTTATATATCATCATATTGTCATAAAACCACACACGTACGAACCTCTAAAACTGTTCTTGTGACACATGTACATAGCATCAAACCTTACATAAATAGCAAGAAGTGTTGTAGGTATAAGATGTAGTCTTCTCGTATCTGAGAGGCGTCAGCCACGAAGATATTAGACGACTTCATTTGATTTACATAGAAGTAATAATAATTATTTTATCTTTTCTCTTGTTCTTAAAAGAACACTTAGTATTGAAAAAAACAGGAATAGTGTCATTATCTCAAAATTACCAAATGCAGCAACACTTTCAAAAGATGTTTTATAGTTATGGATTTGGAATGAAATTTGAATTGTGTCTATTTTCCTTTCATCAAATTGACAAAATTGATAACACTGCTTTTGTATGACAATATGAATCGCTGTACTATCGTGTCTAGATCTTTTCTTGGTTTAATTGCCAAAAACCTAAACTTGTTGCTGATAAATGATAACACTTCTATGTAAATCTAGTTATACATGTTCTCCATAGATAAATCATACAATTAGATAGCAAAGTGAAAAACTAATTCAAACGAAATGAAATATACATTGTAAATGTATCACACCCTATTACCAACTATCTGTTCTGCAGACGCAACAGGCGATAAAGATCCAACTCTAATGTGCACGATGGCAGAATCCATTGTATTGCAATGGCAATTGGAACGACAGACTAAAAACTGCTTCTGTAAACACGATTGCAAAAACAACTGTTTTTAATGACAAACGAGAAAACAGATCCTATTTAATCTGCTGAAGTGATAGCTGGTTATAGGATGTGCGTATTGTTATTCGAAATAATTCGTAATTGACTACGTGAATCAATCTGACAGATTCTTATTTGTTTTATTTTTAAATTTAACAAAATTTATTTCAAATTATCCTGTTATAATTACCTTAGTAGTATAGGAGAGCATATGGGAGGGTCTGGATGGGGTTTACAGAATAGAGAATATTGGGCCAATACTACAGAAAAAAGGGCCAATTAAATAAAGAATAGATAATAATGAGGTGATAAAATATAAAGAATAGATCTAGAGAATAATGGGCAAAATTTATAAAGAAAAGAGAAACATGGCTTCAATCACTTTACTATAACTATTAAAATGTGTAACCTTCTAACACTTTGAATTCTACAAGTTATATATTTTCAAATTAACACAAAATTGAGATCTGCATTTACTACTGTCTCAGCATAAATATTTCATAATTTAAAATTTGTACATAATGCATATAAAAAGGAAGATTTTCAATTCATGAGGGTCTGGATGGGGTTTACAGAAAATAACCCAAACAAATATAACGAATTCAATTATTAAAGAGAAAGAAAGCCAAAGAAAAAGGGAATGCCAAACGAAAAATGGCCTTAAGATTAACGAAAATTAAAGCAATACTTTCAGCGTTCAAATTCTCACTGCTTTAACTGATGACTTATATTTGATATGTTCCGAATAGATAAATGGCGGGAAATAATTTGCGGCAAATTTAATCAACGGGTGTATCAAAACTTAACAAACTAGTCAGAATAGGTTCAAATGAATGAATATTAGATGAATCTTAATAATATTCTGACAAGAATACTAGAATGACATAATGAAAAAATGTGCTGTTACTTATTGCAGCTGTGTGCATCT